ATAGACCCACATCTCCCCCTATGACCCCGAGTTGCAGTTGTTCTTGTAGCTGCATTTCTGTTTCCTTTCTGGTCTCTGAGGCCGTGTTGGTTTATCTTTGTTTTCATTTTTAGGTACTTTGGACTGAGTTGGCCAGAAATGGAGTTCTCTGCAGAAAGGGACTGCAGGCACCAGTGTGGGGTGGCAGGCAGGATGCCAAGGGTTGGCTGTAGTTCCTGGCACTGAGACACTGAAATGGGCAACCGTAATACTTTGTACCAAGTTTAAGTCGTTGTAAGTTCATTATTTAAAGCACGTGGTTTGGTTCTCTGTAAGTATTTTGTATGACTTTGAACCCCATGTTCTGCTGCTGCAGTGCAGGCTGCTCCCCAGCCCTGCCTTCCAGGGCACCATGGAGCAGAGAGCTCAGATCCCAAGGCACAAACCTGATGATTTATACGTATGTGGTGGTTTATAGATATGTTCTTAAAATGGAAATGTATTTTTCTTTGTATGTCTTTCGTTGGGCTTTTTTTTTGTTGTTTTTTTTTTCTTTTACCAATGCAATTAAAGGCAGTTGCTGAGTTGCTGTCCTGAGTGCTCCTGAGTGCTGCTGTGCTGCTCCATGGCACCAATGTGCTTTGGCAGGGATGCTCTCCCGTGGCGTTTTGCTTTACTGAGCATTTCCCCGGGGTTTCTGTCTGAGGAATCCCAGCTCTCCTCCAGGCACCACGTATGAGCTCCAGAGGCTTGGGTTGTTTTGGGGGCTGTGCAGCTTCCATGCAGTGACGTGATGGCTGCGCCCGCAACGATCACAGTTGGATAATAATAAATCCCTGGTTTTGAAGGCAATGTCTGATGCTGCTCTTCTCCTTTGTTCCCATTGCTGAACCTGGCAAAACGCTTCCCCTGGGGGTGGATCTGCTGGGCTGGGCAGGTGGGGCTGAAGCCGACCTCTGATCTCTGAGCGCTGTCTGCTGCCAAAGAACCTCTCTGGGTTTGAGTTTTGGTGCTGCTGAGGAACAGATGTGAGTTGTTGTGGGTAAAACAGCCGCTGAATGCAGGCAGTGGGGGTGGAGGGTTTGCGTCCTTTTGGGATGAGACTTGGAGGCAGCCGAGCTCCCGTGGGCTTCGTTAGTTGGAAAGCAGTGGGAAGGAGGGCTGTGAGCAAACCTGCTTGCTCTCCAGCATCCCTGGAGGTGTGTGCAGAGCCGAGATGTGGCTGCTGTGCTGGAGATGCCACCACTGTGCAGGCAGCAAGTGGGAGCTGTGTGCCAGTGACAGCAGCGCCATTCGTCACTGAGATGCTCAGCTTCTCACCTCCCGGACCAGGGAGGGCTGAGGTAAGAATCTGGGATGCTGCGGCCCTCCTTGCCCTTCTCAAAGCACAGCAAGTGGCCCCGTGAGGCATCGTGGTGTGGGGAGAGCTGCCCCGTGCCTTCCGTGCTGATTCGGGCTCACAGGGATGCGTGGTTTTGTGTCTGGTGTTTCCCTGCTGTGCTTTTTTTGCTGGGCAGCTTTGCCCACAGCAGAACAGTCAGGGTTTGCCTTTGGGCCGAGCCCATGAGCTGCCTCAGGAAGACTGGGGTGATGTCCTGAAAGGAAGACATGGATCCATCTGTTCACCAAGGGCCTTCAGGAGCAGCTCTGGTTTCAGTTCCCTGTGCAGCTGTAAAATGTCAGCACAGGTGGTGCCAAAATCACTTAGAAATGAGAATTTCAAACTCGATTGTCCCAACCAGAGCAAAACCTTCTGCTGGGGTAAAGCAGAATTGGGTCCCTTTGGTGCTGCCTTGCGAGTCTGCAGATCAGAGGGAATGGCATCCATCCAATCCAGTGTGTCTGCAGGGACACATTGCTGCTCCACAAGGCTGTCAGGCAGTGTGAAGTGCTGCTTTCCAGGGCTGGCAGAATCGGTGTGCCCCACAGCTGTGCCAGGGAGGTGCATTTGTCCCCAGGCTGGTCGGTGGATGGTGCCTCATTCGGTGATAGGCCCAGCTGGGAAATGCCCGCCGACCCCCAGGTTGGGTTTCCCACTGCCCTGAAGGCGTTTTCCTTCTGCTTTTCTGCTGCCAAAGCTGAACGTTCAGCCCTGGCACTGGAGAACGGGGGTCCTGGGGAAGGTTGTTACCATTCTCTTCCTGCACGCTGCTTGGAAACCCACGGGAGGTGATGGCAGCATGGGGAGCTGTGGGGTGAAGGAGCAATACCTGAGGTTGGTCCCTGCCTACAGCAGGGGGGCAGGGCAGCCCCTTGTTGCCCCTCAGCCACGAGGTATGGTGGTAAAAACGTCCCACGTTGCAGCAGCCTGGGGCTTTCATAAGGATTTTTCCATCGGTGCCTGAAAGCAGCCAGCAGCCTTCGTTGGGGGCTGAGGGTTTCTTTCCGAAGCCGATTGAGGGAGCAGAGAGAGATTTATTTGAGAAGCAGTTTAATGGTTGGACTCCGCATCCCCAAAACCTCCTCCCTGTGGGTCTGCCTGCCCCGGGCTGTGGATTGGGGCCGTCCCCCGGGGTGTCCCAGCGAGGTGCTGAGGGGGATCTTCGTGCCTTTGTGTTGCAAATCTTTGCAGGAAATTGATGTGGGAAGGAGCTGCTGCTCCTCGGCGGATCCCCGCCTGCTTAGGTAAGCACAGCTGCCTGCTGCTCCATCCCGCTGCCCTGCAGTGATGCCCTGCAGCTCCTGGGCTGATTTTGGGGATAACAGCTGTGCAGATCGAGGGCAGCAGCCTCTGCTTTGGCTGCGTGCAGCCGTGCAGTAAAGCGGGCTGAAGAGTAACTCAATGGAGACGATGGGGCCCCACGGCAGCAGATGCAGATGGGAAGGAGATGCTGAGAGATGCTGCCCTGACATCAGAGCTGCTCTGATGCCTGTGGGGTGGGATGGGGACAAGAGAGGGATGCTCCACTGGTTGGTTGAGGAGGGAGGGGGGTGCAGGTCAACCCCCCAAAGACAGAAATCCCAGCTCTGTATGGGCGTTTTGAGCTGCGCTGAGAGGAAGGGACAGACGGCCCTTGGGTGATGAAGCAAAGCTGGGGCACAGGGGATGGGGGGATGTACAGCCCTGCACAGAAACAGCTGCTCTGGGCCCATCTGGCAGCGCAGGGGTGGGGGGGTCTGCAGGTGGGGCCACTGTGAGACCCCCGCCAGACTGTCTGTGCTGTATGTAAATGGCAGAAGGTGACTTTTGTCAACGAGAGCCGCTGGTTTAAGCAGGGCTCGTTAGAAATGAGCCCTCTGCAAAATGGTTGGCAGCTCGTAAGGTAAACATTGCAGGCAATTGGCAGCTCTGCCCCAACGTCCCGGGATGCTGCCCTGCACGTGTGGCGTCTGGCACTGCAAGGCCAGCTGCTCTGTGCACAGCATGGGCAGAATTGGGGTTTGGAGGGGGAGCAGCCCCAGTCCTATGGGATGTACTGCTGCTGGCGGGCAGGGAAGGGGAAGGAAAGGATGTGGAGGATGTGAAGTTTCCTCTGCCAATTAACCCAAGCCTGTCGTTGCCTCTTTGTGTATTCTGGATAATTAATGGCCCTTTCACCATCAGAATGTGGGGTTGGGGTAAATGACAGATGCCAGCTGGCCATGCAGCTCTGGATGCACTGCATTAACGGCTGCCTTCACCGGCCGCTTTCGCTCTGCCGGGGGGGGGAGGGCTGGGCTCTCATCCCATCGCACCGATCCCACAGCCACGAGAGCATGGGGACAGGAGGGGATGCGGCCCGGTCCAGCCTGGCTGCGGTGCTCTGGTCCCATGAGTGCTGCCATTAAAATCCAGTCGGTTTCCTTTGGAGAGCAGAGGCAGTCGGGGCCGCCGCGCCGAGGCTCGCAGCCGGACCCGCGTCCCCCCAGAGCGCTGCTGCCAGCCCTCCCCTCCCGTTGTGTACTGGGGCTAATTGGTGCAGGGTGCCCATCTTTGCACCTTGTTAGCACGGCGATTAGCTCTCTTTACCCTCCTGATCGCCCATGTGCATATTTGACTCCAATCCATCTTTCCAGCGAGTTATAAATGCGGCGCCGGGTTTGCAGAGGGGAGTGAAGCCGGGACAGCAGAGCCATGCTGGGCGCCGTGCTGCTGCTGCTGGCTTTGGCACGGCCGGCATCCACGGAAAGCCGCAGGGCCGAGGCTCTCAAAAAGCTGCTGGAAGTTTTTGGCATGGAGGACCCCCCGCCCGCCCCGGCCCACGTCAAACAGCCGCCGCAGTTCATGGTGGATCTGTTCAACGCGGTGGCCAACGCCGACGGCGTCACCAAAAACCCCGACGTCCTGGAGGGGAACACGGTGCGCAGCTTCCTGGATAGAAGTAAGGGGAGGGGGTCCCTGCGGTGCTGGAGCTGGGGGGAGGGGGGGGGAGTTGTGGGATGGGGCCGTTTGGTTTCACTTCCCGATCCGTCTCTCCCTGCAGCTCAAGGTGAGAAGATGCGGTTCCTCTTTGTCCTCTCCAGCGTGGCCAAGAATGAGAAGATCCTGACGGCGGAGCTGCACCTCTTCCGTCTGTGGCCGAGAGCCGCCGAGGGGCCCAGGAGGCATCACTTCTGCCAGGTGAGGGAGGGGGGGGAGCCCAAAAGGACCATTTCTGCCAGGTGAGGGGGGATGGGGTGCGGATGGGGGCAGGGACGTGCCCCGCTGTGCCCAGCAGCCCTGCCGCCGCCGCTTTCTCCCCGTCTCCATCCTTTCCCTGCCCTCCCCCCAATACCCACTTCCACCCCCCCCCCCCACGCCATGGCTGCTCACCTCCCTTTGCCTCCATCCCCAGGTCAGCGTGTACCAAATTCTGGACAAGGCTGAGCCGGACTCCCCCAAAGGACAGAAGCTGCTGGCAAGCAGGCTGCTCTCACTGCAGGGCTCGGGCTGGGAGGTCTTTGTCATCACGCAGGCTGTGAGTGCTCTTACACCGGGTGTATGGATGGCACAGAGAGAAAAATGGTCATTTTGCATCCGAGAGCCTTTTTAACCCATTTCACCCCGTTCTGGGCCTGCAGTGCCCACCTGAGGTTGGGGTGCACAGCCTGTGGGGAGGGGTGGGAGTGTGGGTGGGCGCCCCGTTGTGGTGCTGGTACTGCTGCTGTCCACTGTGACACATTTTGGGGACATGGGGACACTGCCACAGTGGTGGGACACATCCCACCGTGGTGACACTGTGTTTGCTTCCCCAGGTTCGGGATTGGACCCAAGATGAGAGCAGCAACCGAGGTTTGCTGGTGACGGTCCACAGCCTGGGTGGCAGCACACTCGAAGCCCCCGCCGTGCAGTTCGCATCCAGCGGGGACCACCATGAGAGCAAGAAGCCCATGCTGGTCCTGTTCACAGATGATGGGCGCCGAGGAGCATCCCTGCCCATGGCCGGGGTCCCAGGTGGGTGCCACACAACAGGGGGCCGTGCCCAGGTCCCTGCATGCAGGCTTCAGCTCTGCCTTAGCCTGAACGCAGCCGTGCTCAGAGCTGTGGCCACGCTGATGACCACCGTGGGGCTGCAGAGCTGTCACCTCCTGGTGGCTCTACACTGACTGCGCAGAGGGGTGGCCAGCACCGCCGCTCCACTTCCTCCCTCCTTTCAGGCTCGTGCAATCACTGATGGAATCGTTTTCTTATTTCTGACAGCCTCACAGCCTCGGGATTTCCCTGCCAAGCTGACCGGGCCGCGCAGCGCACGCTCTCTGGACCGCCTGCAGCCGTGCCAGAGGCACCCCCTGTCCGTGGACTTCGAGGAGATCGGCTGGTCTGGGTGGATCATCTCCCCCCGGGGTTACAATGCCTACCACTGCAGAGGCTCCTGCCCCTTCCCCCTGGGTGAGAACATGAGGCCGACCAACCACGCCACCGTGCAGTCCATCATCAACGCCCTGAAGCTGAGCGAGGGCGTCAGCAGCCCCTGCTGCGTGCCTGACAAGCTCTACTCCATCAACCTCCTCTACTTTGATGACGATGAGAACGTGGTCCTCAAGCAGTATGATGACATGGTGGCTGGGAGCTGCGGCTGCCACTGATGCAGAGATTTCCCCCCCCATTGCAGAGCAGCTCTGCAGGGTCTCTCTTTGGCACCGCTGTGGGTTTTTGCAGAACAAAGCAAAGGGGTGCACAGCTGTGACCCCGTTGGTGCTGGGAAGGCTCAGGGTTGGACTCAGGGCTGATTCTGTGCAGGGTTGTGTGGGTTTTCCCACCTTTAGTGGCTGTACCATATGTATATAGTGAGAGCACTAATATATGACTGAAATCGGTGTCCTGTAAATGTCTGTACAGCGCTGTGTTTTGTAAAGTGAACTCAGAGGAACTATTAAACGTGCTGCTGTCAGTGGGGCTCCCTTTGTGGTGATGCTGCCCGTGGGGTGGGTGATGGATGCAGTGGGTGCTGCTGCGCTGGCTGTGCTCTCCAAGCAACACGAGGGGGGTGAGAGCACAATGCCATACGTGTGCCACGCTTTGAGAGAACAGCAAAGCTCCTGCTTGGACACAGCAGAATCACAGAATGGCCAGGGTTGGAAGGGACCTCAAGGATCATGAATCTCCAAACCCCCTGCCGCATGCAGGGCCACCAACCTCCATGTTAAATGCTAAACCAGGCTGCCCAGGGCCCCATCCAACCTGGCCTTGAACACCTCCAAGGACGGGGCATCCACAACCTCTCTGGGCAGCCTGTTCCAGCACCTCACCACTCTCTGGGTAAAGAACTTCCCCCTGATGTCCGACCTAAATCTCCCCTCCCTCAACTTAAAACCATTTCCCCTCTTCCTACACACATCAACCCCTTCAAAGAGTTGATTTCCCTCCCCTCTGTAGGCTCCCTTTAGGTATTGAAAGGCAGCAATGAGGTCACCCCCCAGCCTTCTTTTCTCCAGGCTGAACAAGCCCAGCTCCCTCAGCCTGTCCTCACAGGGGAGGTGCTCCAGTCCCCTGATCATCCTAGTGGCCCTGCACAGCAGCGTGCAGGAGCTGGTGAACAGGAGGAATGTTTGACTCCCTGCTGTCACCACGCTTGCTGCATTGTGCCAAAACCTGAGACAAAGCACGGTTTGGGGCTGCTTTATTAAACCTTGCTGCTGGGGCTCCTCCCCAGCTCAGCACCCCACATGCCTGGGGTCGGGGCAGCAGCACTGCGACAGCTTCTGCAGGATGCGCTGCTTCAGATGGAACCGCCTGGAGAGCTTCAGGGAGAGGCTGCTCTCGTTCTCGTGCGCCTTCAGCTTGGCATAATAGTCCGAAAACTTGTTGTAGAGGATGGAGATGGGCATGCCGTTGAGGATGATGCCGAAGGAGATGCAGCCAAATGCCACAATCCGGCCCAGCACCGTGTCAGGCACTGTGTCCCCATAGCCCACAGTGGAGAGGCTGACCTGGGGGGGAAACACAGAATCACAGAATGGCCTGGGTTGCAAAGGAGCACAACGCTCATCAGTTCCAACCCCTGCTGTGTGCAGGTCGCCAACCAGCAGCCCAGGCTGCCCAGAGCCACATCCAGCCTGGCCTTGAATGCCTGCAGGGATGGGGCATCCACAGCCTCCTTGGGCAACCTGTTCCAGTGCCTCACTGCCCTCTGTGTGAAAAACTTCCTCCTCATATCCAACCTAAACCTCCCCTGTCTCACTTTAAAACCATTCCCTTCTCCTATCACCATCCACCCTCATAAACAGCCATTCTCCCCCCTGTTTATAAGCTCCCTTCAGGTATTGGCAGGCCACAATGAGGTCTCTCCAGAGCCTTCTCCTCTCCAAGCCAAACATAGGAGAGATGCTCCAGACCATCTTAGTGGTCCTCCTTGAAGAAGGAATGGAGAGGATGAAGCGCTGTGTGTGTGACATTGCTGCTGCCCCATGAGCTGCTCTGCAGCCTGAGCTGCTCCCCTCTGCACGTCCATCACCCACCCACACTGCAGCTCCAGTACGGGGCGACGCACCGACACAAAGCTGTGCAGACTGGGGGTGCTGCAGCCCAGAGCTTGGGCAGGAGATGAGGTTTGAGCATGGGTTTGCTTGGGAAAAGGAGCACAAGGAGGTGGGACAAGAGAAGGGCTGGCATCCTCAGCTCTGCTCCTCACTGCCTCCACCCCATCCCACAGCCACACCGCAGCCCTCTGCCCGCTCCTTACCGCTGCCCACCACCACGCGTAGGGGATGCTGGTGAAGTTGGTGCCCGGCACGTCGTGCTCCACCGAGTGCATGAGAGCAGAGAAAGTGAAGACCCCCATGGCGATGAAGAGGAAGAGGCAGCAGACCTGCTGGTAGCACTGCCTCATGGTGAAGCCGAAGGCGCGGAGCCCCGTGGAGTGCCTTGCCAGCTTGAGGATGCGGAAGATCCGCATCAGCTTGATGAGTTTGAGCACTTTGCCCAGCTTGCTCACGTTCTCCACTTTGTGCAGCTCCTCGTGGTACAGCGTCTCTCCTTCGTCCAGGTTTTCAAAGAGGATCTGGATGTAGAAGGGCAGGATGGCCACCAGGTCGATGGCATTGAGCGCCGCCCGCAGGAAGTTCTTGAAGCTGGAGGAGGAGATGAGCCGCATGAGGTACTCGGAGGTGAAGAAGATGGCGCAGATCATCTCCGTCTGCTCCATCCACTTCTTCCCCGTCTTGTGCTTCATCTCCTCCACCGTGCTCAGCGTCATGCCCACGATGGAGATGAGCACAAAGAAGCTGGACATGACGGCGATGATCTTGGCCGGGACGGATGAATACGGGTTCTCAATGAGGTTCCAGATGGCCCTGCGGAACTTCCCCAAGCATTTGCCCTCAAACTGCCCTGCCGAGTCCACGGGCTCCAGCTCCGCCTCCAGCTCCTTCTGGATCTTCAGGTACTCGCTGAGCTCGTCCTGCTTCTCCTCAAACAGGATCCGGCAGCAGCGCTGGGAGTGCTTCAGGTGGATCCCCCAGTATTCGATTTCCTCCACGAAGTTGCTGGGGCACATCTCGTCCATTATCCACAGCACCCCACTGCAGTAAAAGTGGAAGATGTAGTGGAAGATGGAAGGGTCTCTGTCAAAGAAGTACTCGTTCCTCTGCACGCAGTAGTCATCACAGAGCTTCAGCTTCTTCGTAGGGTCGGTGCAGGTGGCCAGCTTCCCCAGCCTGGTGACGGGATACCGGGCCACCACTCTGCAGGCGATGTGGAACAGCTTGCCACCCACATTGATATTGAGGAAGTACTTGTTCCTCCGGACTGGGACCTTGCCCTCCTCCTGGCTCCGGTCTGCCACGTTCTGCATGGAGCGCCATTGCTTCACCAGGCTGTCCTGTGCAAACGGGATGTGCAGCTCCTCCTCCTCGGCCGTCCGGCTGCCCCGCCGTGCCGCAGGCTTCAGGCTGGCACACAGACTCGCACGTCTCCTCCCCAGCTGCCCCATTGCTATGCTATCCCAGCTATGGCGTGTGGGATGGCAGCTGTGGCTTCATGGCTGTGCTGCCCCACACACCGACAGCTGGGACACTGCCCCGAGCTGCTGCCCACGGGCCCTGGCTGTGTGGAGGCACCTGCTGGGTTCCCAAAGCTGATTGCTGAGCAGATTGCACTGCAGGAGCTGCAGGCAGCTGAGCGTCCGCTCCTTAAGACGCTAATGAGATTGGAGCACGAACCCTTTATATAAGGAACTAATTCCAGCCCTGCACTTTTCCCTTATTCTGTTTTTGTTACTTGTGTGTGCTTGGTGCACGTCACAGCATTGCCCAGCAGGACACCCCTGGTGTTGGAGGCATGAGGTCGGTACCAGCTTTGTAAATCCACAGCAGATGCAGCTCTTGGCCCCAGCTGTTGGTTCAGCACGTGAGCACTAATGCAGCTGCCCCTGTCCCATCTCTTCCATCACCCAGAGGAGGGAAGCACTCAGCACCAGCTCAGCCCTCAGAACCCCACAAAGCTGCCACGAGGCTGAAAAGCAGCTCCAGCCCTCAACAATCGAAGCCATTGAGCCCAGAGAACAGAAGAGAAACGTTTCTGGCACAGAACAGAGGAAGGGAAATCCCTGTCACAGATGCATTCCAAGTTTTTGTCTGAAACCCAAAACACCGGCTTGCTTTCAAGCCTAAAACACTCAGGGGTCGGTGAGCAAAGTCGACCTAAGCCTGCAGAGGGAAGAAGCTGCCCGTCCCACGTTCACACTGCAGCCTCGCTGCTGAGCACAGAGCCCAGCAGAGCAGCACAGCACGGCTCAGCTCAGCAGCTCAAGCTAAGAGGATGATCCAGGACAGGCTGCTGACAGCTGACCTCTGCCATATGGCCCCGACACCACCAGCAGCCCTCCCTCAGTCCTGTTGGGACACCTGAAGCACCCCCTGCTCCGCCGGGCGCCCCACACCTTTCATTTGCTCTAAAGCAGAAGGAATAAGCTCAGGCAGTGTTTTCTCCACCTTATTCTCAGGCTAAGAGCTCCATTTGTCACCTGCTCAGCTGCAGCAGCTCACTGTAAGCGCCAGCTGCACACCTCGCACCCACTGCTCCGTTCACCCTGCTCCCCAAATTTCACTTTCCCCAGTTCAGCCACTGGGCACTGCAGTCACAGAATCACAGAACAGCCTGCGTTGCAAAGGAGCACAATGCTCATCAGTTCCAACCCCTGCTGTGTGCAGGTCGCCAACCAGCAGCCCAGGCTGCCCAGAGCCACATCCAGCCTGGCCTTGAATGCCTGCAGGGCTGGGGCATCCACAGCCTCCTTGGGCAACCTGTGCCAGTGCCTCACCACCCTGTGTGAAAAACTTCCTCTCAACATCCACCCTAAACCTCCCCTTTGCTCCAGCTCAGACCCGGCTCCTGCTATCCCCATCTGCCCACAGAGACAAAAGAAATGCAAAAAACAGGCAAATTCAGAAGTCATTCCAGCTTCCCATTCTTTATTCTCCCATATCCTTCCCCAACAGCCACCTCTGCTTGTCCCCATGGGAACAGGGGCAAGGTCACACATACAACCTCTTGGTGCAACAAATACTGATGCTGCAACGTGCCCAGCTGCTCCGTGGGTGACAGCTGCACACTTACATGCTACAACAAGAGCAGAATGCCCTGCTCTGGGACCGACGGGCAGCTTTGCTCAGCCCAGCAGCACAGAGCAGCTCTGTGTCTTCTGTGCACTCACTGAGCCCTTGGCAAGGAGCACATGGAACAGAGATCAGCACTGAATTAGAGGCACAGGTCAGGGATCTCTTGTCCTGATTTCAGCTGGGACAGGGCGGCTTTCTCAGTGTCTGATGTGGTGCTGTGCTTTGGGGAATAAAGGAGATAAAGAACACTGCTAACACTCTGCTCCAGCTGGGCACCAGCCAGCAGGTGTTGAGCAACTCATCGTGCAGCATTTGTTTTGTAAATATATATAAATTAATTACTTTCTTTTTTCTTTTTTCCCCTTCTCCTGCTGGGAAGGAGGGGCTGCGTGGTGCTGAGCTGCTGCTGGGTGACACAACAACTCCAACACTGTCAGTTACACAAAGAGCACAGCACAGAGCCATGCAGAAACAACCACAAAGCAGAGCTCACAAAGCAGAGCTCTCACAGCATTTGACCCAAGGAACTCGTTATTTCAAGCTGAAAGCAAGACTCCAAACACTCAAAACCTCCAGCAAAAGGAGGCTCAGGGAGCGCACAGCTGATGTGTGTGGGTTCAGTGAGCTCTGCTGAGAGGGGTGGCAGAGCAGCACCTGGCACTGCACCTTCATGGAGAATTAAACCTACAGGTTGAAGGCCATGGTGAAGAGAAGCAGCATTAATAATCCTTGCAGGCAAAAAGAGGGAATTTCTGTGATCTGCAGGAGGGGTGACTTCACAGCACTGGGGAAGGTCCTGTCCTGTTTCGAGTCCCATAGTGCTACCATCTAAGACTCATTTCCAATGGGAGATCCGAGTACAACAGCAAATCAGATTCACGTCCAAATTCAGCCAGCTTCCATGGTGAGCAGCAGGGAGAGCAGGTCAGTCCCATCTTACCACCTCACAGAGGAAGATCCCTGTTACAGGAAACAAGACCATGGTTGTTGGCAGCCCTTTTGCCGTGAAATCCAGTTTTATTCAGTTTGTAAGTCTGGGAAATCAACCCATAGCAGGAAATCTGCCCTAGCATGAGTTGTGAGAGCCCTCAGCAGCACAGGAAGGACATAAGAGCACCAAAAGAAGGCAGCACCTTCTCACAGGAGGTCATGCAGGGATCCCGCAGCCAAACAAGAGCTCTCACGTCTGATAGTGAGGAAGCAAGAGCTCTACTGCTTCAGGGCAAACTGAGATGGTGGGTGTGTGGCTGAGCAGCAGCACAGGGAGCTGGGAAAAGCTAGCCAAGGGAAAGCTCTAGTGCTAGAAACACAGGGCAGGAAGCAGTGCTCCCTCACGTGGGGGCAAAGAACTTACCTGTCAGGAGAACAGGTCTGCCTGGCTCTTGTCAGGCACCAACTGCTCCCTGGAGGCATTTTCGAGACTGAAGATGTCAGACCTGCTTTTTGCTTTGGACTTCCCCCATGCAGCGATACCACCCACAGCTACCAGGCAGCTCAGGAGCACTAAAGAGAAGAGTGCATAAGCAGAGAACCACTCACTGCGCCTGGATATCTGCACCAGGCACTGCTGCTCAATAGCATTAATGAGAGACCAGCAGCCTGAAGAATAATGGACAAAGAGCACGGCAGTGTTAGTGCCAGATTGCATGGAGCCTTAGGGGAGGATCTCTGAGGTTTTGACACTCCCTCAGGATAATTAAGGTGAAACCCTGCCAAACAAATGTTGATTTGTATTACACTATAATACCAAGCACAAAACGCAGGTATATATTTCATAGAATCGTGGAATGGCCTGGGTTGAAAAGGACCACAGTGCTCATCCAGTTCCAAGCCCTTGCTGTGTGCAGGTCGCCAACCACCAGACCAGGCTGCCCAGAGCCACATCCAGCCTGGCCCTGAATGCCTGCAGGGATGAAGATATTTACGTATCCGTACATTACTGGTGATTAGGTGTGATGATATGCATTGTGTTACATCCTAATTTAGCTTGAAAAGTGAGAGAAGAAGAGAGAAAAGAGATAAGGAGAGAGAAAAAGAGATTGGATTGGAGGGGGGAAAGAAAATCCAGATCATCACCCTCAGCTCCAGTATAGTTTCCAACCCAACAATATTTGTGTGGTGGGTGCACACCAGTGAGTCACAGTCCTTACCCTTATTGCCAAAAGGTGCATTTCACATACATAGGAGTGGATTACAAGTGAGGGGGGAACAGGTGGGACTTCGCATTTGTGCATATGCAGAAGGGAGCATCAGCTCCTTCCTCCAGCTGAGACAGGGGACACAGAGACCCAGTCTCTTACCACACCAGTCATGTAGGCACCTCTTGCAATGGGGAAACCTGCCCACATTTGTGCTCTGAGTCTCACATACCTGCAACGATCACCATCCACATGCGGCCGTGATTCCTGGACGGCAGAGCATGCCCGGGTGCAGGGACAGATGAAGCCTCTGAGATGGAAAAAAGCAAAAAGTCCAGCAGGCTCCCAGCACTGTGCACAGCAGCCTCCAGCCCAAACCCAAACAGGTGCCCAGCTCACTCAGGAGTGCCAGCAGGGCTGTATCAGCTGAAGCAAAGCCTTAAGCGCTGTTACTATCATTAGCCCACACCACCAGTTGGGAGCCGGGAAACTTTCCTCACCTCTCTTAGGCTGGGAGAACTGTTAGGGTAGGAGGAGAAAAAGCCAGTGAGCAAACCAAGCAAGCAGGAAAGCTTGATTAAAAGTGGCTCCTGAAGCAAGATGGGTGCACCCATTCTGCCCCATAGGGCCAGGGAGCACAAAGCCCAAGGACAAGTTCTTTCCTATGAGAGTGGTGAGGTGCTGAACAGCTGCCCAGAGAGGCTGTGATGCTCCATCCATCCCTGGAGGTGTTCAAGGCTGGGTTGGATGGGGCCCTGGGCAGCCTGGGCTGCTGTGAAACGGGGAGGTTGGTGGCCCTGCGTGTGGCGGGGGTTGTAGATTCACGACCCTTGGGGTCCCTTCCAACTCAGGCCATTCTGTGATGACCAAGGGCAGCCAGCACAGCAGGCAGGGAAGCAGACCCTTCAGAGCTCTTCCTGAGGAAGCCCTGTGGCGCCTGAATGCTGCACAGGAGGTGGGGCTGCTCAGCATTTCCTCTGCTCAGCTGCGTGAGCACAGCCCAGGGCGAGGTGTGATGGATGAGGCTGCTTCAAAAGGGCTGAAAACACAGAGGGAAGGCTCTGCCAGTCAGCCACAGCTCTTATCTTTATAACAACACTGCAAAGCTGTTCCACTGCACTCTGGGCTTTATGGCAGCTGTGGGGCATTGCTGGGAGGAGATACTGAACCGCAGGATCTGCTAGAGGTGCCCCAGCCACGGCAACTCCTTGCAGCAGGTGCACAGCAAAGCATCCCGGAGGCATCTGGGGATCCCCGGAGAAGCAGACTGCCCCGCCGCACCGGGCAGTTCGTGCCGGGGCTCCACATCTCTCAGCACGACGTTCTGCTCCCCGTTCACACAGAACTCCCCCCAGGCTGCACCGTGAACCCGGTGCCCCGCCTCACCGCCCCGTCTGACCCCGCACCGCAAGTATTGAGCAAAGGGGCTCCCAGCCCATCCCGGAGTCCAAGGCCAGCCCCCCCCGGAAAGGCCCGGCCGTACCCGTATCGCCAGTGGTGGGCACCGCAGTGCTCCCGATCGCTCCGCAGTCCAGTTCGTCCCGTTCATCATCGCAGTCGGGATGACCGTCGCAGAGCCACTCCAGGGGGTAGCAGTCGGTTTGGGGGTCGCGCAGAACCGAACAGTGGAACTTCTCGGGGGGGCACCGAACCAGGGAACCTGCGGGGCGGGGCGAGCGGAGAGGAACCCCGTCATTGGGGAACCCCGTCATTGGGGGAACCCCGCCGCCCGTTCTCGGGGTGCTCGTCAGCCGCGCGCAGCGCCAGCCAATGAAAGCGAGAGAGCCGCGGACGGCGTCGGCCAATGAAAGAGAAGGGCGTGCGCAGGGATCCAATAGGGAGAGAGGACGGCAGGAGACGCGGCCGCCCGCACTCACCGTTGCCGGACGCAGAGGAGGGCAGCGGGCGGAGCGCGCGCAGCAGCACGACCAGCACCGCCAGCAGCCGCGCCATGCCGACCCCCGGCCCACCGCCGCGCGTCTATAAAGCGGGCCGCGGGAGGGCAGGGCGCATGCGCGACGCCCCGCCCCTCGGCCAATAGACGGCCTCGAGCCGGCCCGCGACCTTCAGGAGGCCCCGGCTCCTCCGCGAGGCCCGGCCCCCTCGGCGGACATCGCGGCCCCGCGGGCTGCACGCGCCGCCTTGTATGCGTGAGCTCGGCTGCGCCCGGCGGTGCGGGGTGCGGATCTGCGGCACCTCGCGAGGTTCTGCCGGGCGGCATCCCGTTCCCTCAGGCGCGTCTCACTGCCAGCGTCATCAATGGAGATATTAAGCAGCGTTTGCCCCGCTGCTCGTAGAACGGCCTGGGTTGAAAAGGACCGCGGTGATCATCTTGTTTCGACTTCAGGGTCGCCAAACAGATCAAAGCCCAGCCCAAAAAAAACCGAAAAATCAGTGCCCCCAAATGACTGTGAACTAGTTTTCAAAGGGATCACACGGTCGTTGTATCGGTGAGGCTGCAGTAACTCAACAGTCCCACTGCGATGCGATGCTGGCCAAGGCTTTGAGTCAATGCCTTTTCCCCTGAGAACGTGGCATCTTTGAGGCTGCTATCCTGAGTTAAAGTGAGCACCAGGAGGCATTCATTGGTATTGAAGATGTCCCCCAGCACAGGGAGGATGTGGAGCACTTGGAATGGGTCCAGAGGGTCTCTAAGATGATCAGAGGGCTGGAGCAGCTCTCCTATGAGGAAAGGTTGAGGGAACTGGACTTGTTTGGCTTGGAGAAGAGAAGGCTCCATGGAGCCCTCACTGGGGCCTTCCAGTGCTTGAAGGGAGCTTATAAACAGGAGGGGGAACAGCTGTTTGTGAGGGTGGATGGTGATAGGACAAGGGGAATGGTTTTAAAGTGAGACAGGACAGGTTTAGTGTGGATGTTAGGAGGAAGTTTTTCCCCCAGAGGGTGGTGAGGCACTGGCACAGGTTGCCCAAGGAGGCTGTGGATGCCCCAGCCCTGCAGGCATTCAAGGCCAGGCTGGATGTGGCTCTGGGCAGCCTGGGCTGCTGGTTGGCGACCTGCACACAGCAGGGGGTTGGAACTGATGATCTTTGTGGTCCTTTGCAACCCAGGCCGTTCTGTCATTCCATGTTATGGGGCTGGGGGTGGACAGCTGCCCAGATGGATAACGGATTTGACAAACTGGGGAAGCAGAGTAGGCAAATGAGCTCATACCCTTACAGAGATATGCCAGCAAAACTATAATACTCATCGCCGACAGACATCACTCACCACTGGAACTCACTGGAAGAGCACAGGGCTGGGTGCTGGGCTGTGGGACCTGCAGCTGGCAGGGTGAGCCTGGAGGGGCCTCTATCCCAACTGACTGCTCTGCTCTTAACAGTTGTCCTGGGAAGTGTTGGTAAGGGCTGGATTCCTCCCAGCCATGCCAAATGTCTCAAGGTGCTTGGTGTGCTACGAGCCAGAGCAAAATCTATACCAACCATTCAAGTCACAGCTTTATGGGTGTGAAGGCAGAATGAACTGATGGATGCTAAGCCCATCAGACCGGACTCTGAGGCTACTGAGAGCTAAGCAGTGCCACAGTTAATGGATATCTCTTACCAGAACATAAGAGTGCCAGGTGTGTTGTTCAGCTCTGTCCATTAGGGATATCCCAGCTGTGTTTCTGGGTCTCCTCTTGCAGGAGTTTACATCACAAGCAGCTCATAAACATGCCAAGCCCAAGCTTGTACATCATCCTATTACCCTCTTGAAATAACTTCACATCCAAGACATCATTAAAGAATAATTTCAGTAACTCCAACAGAACAGACAAAAGGGGAGAACAATCACAACTTTAAATATATTTATTAGTTGTGCGTGCAAATATGTTCTGTATAACATCTCCATAGCTAAATCCACTGCAGGCTTACCATTAAAGTGCTGCTTTTTAATGAACCAAGACCTGTACATCCAGATTTATCACACTCATTTCTCACAAGTAGGGCTGGTCTTTTGAGATTTCCCACTTCTTAAGCACCGGCCCCGGCGTCACTGGCTTTTTGTCAGTTGCTGTCACTGCAGAGCTTGAGCTGGGGTAGAAAAAGAGAAGATGCTGTACTAGAGAAAAGCACAATCACTTCAGCATTCTTTTAAGCTATGAAAGCTGCCAGCACTGCTTGTTATCACAGAATCATAGAACAGCCTGGGTTGAAACAGATGTCAAAGATCCAGCTTCAACTCCCCTGCTATATGCAGGGTCACCAGCCACCAAACCAGGCTGCTCAGAGCCACATCCAGCCTGGCCTTGAATACCTGCAGGGATGGGGCATCCACAGCTATAAGAAAAGCAACGTTTTGGTGCAAACCACGAGGCTCACACCAGCTCTGGGCAGAGGGGCTCCCACCTACCTGCTGCCCTCAGCCCCCGCTGCGAGGGTTTTCAGCCCCGAGGCGACCACGATGGGCGGGCCCGCCTCCCGGCGCCCATCCCGGGTGCAGTAATAGTTGTCAGCGAGTTTGTGGCTGGGGCCCACCGGGAGCCGGGGCGGCGGCTGCGTCCTGCAAAGGTGTGAGAGCTCCAGCACAAGGGCTGCTGCCAGAAGGCCTCAGCGCCGCCGGGTTAAAAGGGAGCAGCGCCGCCCCCCCACACAGCGGTACCTCTTGGAGATTTCCGTGTAGCGCAGCGCTAGCTTGGCCTGGAGGTCCCGCTGCAAGGCAAGGTGAGAGAACCTCAAGCGGAGGCCACCACAGCGCGGCCGCCGAAGCTCGCCAGCAGCAAGCAGGGCGCGCGATGCCGCGGGCCGGAGCCGCCCTTACCCCTGCCAGGAAGTTACGGAGCCGCTGGATGAGCCGGGTGGCCGTCGCCATCTTGGCTGTTGTGAAGGGCAGCGAGGGGCGGGGCGGGAGGGCGCGGTGCATGTTGGGTCTCGCGAGACTTGGGGAGACATAAAGCGAGGGGGGGGAGGAGGGGGCTTATGCTGAACGTCGCGAGATTTGGATGTGCGCAAGGTGAGGCTGTGCAGCGGGAACGCACGAGGTTTGCTAAGTCTCGTGAGATTTACTGAGTCGCGCGCGATTTACTGGATCTCGCGAGCTTTGTCGCTATATAAGGGGGCGCAGGGAGGCCCCTCCCCCTTCCTGCCGCCAGAGCCGCCATGGACACGAGTCGCGTGCAGCCCATCAAGCTGGCCAGGGTGGGGGCGAGGGGCCGCGAGGGGCTCCGGGGGGCGGGGCGATGTCATGTCCCGGTTCTGACGCGCCGCTCTGTGTCCGCAGGTCACCAAGGTGCTGGGCCGGACCGGCTCCCAGGGGCAGTGCACGCAGGTGAGCGGGCCGCTGGGCCGGGCCGCGGGACCGCCGGGCCGCGATGACGCTTTGCTTCGCCTTAGGTGCGCGTGGAGTTCATGGACGACACGAGCCGCTCCATCATCCGCAACGTGAAGGGACCGGTGCGAGAGGGAGACGTCCTCACCCTGCTCGAGTCGGAACGCGAGGCACGGCGGCTGCGCTGAGCTCTGCGGGCCGCCCCAGCTGCACGGCCGGGCCCGCACCGCGCTGCTGATGGGCGCTGCCTGCGTTTGGAGCGGCCTGCAGCGAGATGGAGAGCAGCGCTGTGTTGGTGGTTGCGCAATAAAAGTTTTTTTTTTTCCAGTAGTTTTTTGCCCGATTATCGAATATTTTAGCTTTATAGGTGCCTTTGTGTGCGGGTCAGCCTTTGGTTTGGGGCTTAGTAGGGGGACCAAAGCCTGCTCTTGGAACTGTGCTTGTGCATGATGCCTTCATCCTGATGTTGTTCTGTTCCTGTATTTTTGGTTAACTTGTTACTTGCAACAAAGCTAACTTTATTTTGGTTACAGCAACCTTGTTTCTGACTGTTCTGCTAGCTCTGTATGTAACCAGCAGGGAGGTACTGCTATGCTTGCAGTTCCTCTATAGAGTTCTAATTTGGCAGGCAACTTACCAGCCTGCAAAGTCAGCCTGCTGCCTCAGCCTTTCTGTCCTCAGTAAGCAATTCCATCAGTGCTGCTATAAATACAGCTCCTTGCTGTCTTTCCTGGCAGTCACCCACAGAGAGCAAGTGTTACCTTTCCTCTTCGAGGTGTCAGTAAATCAACATCAGTGCCTGCAGCTTTTGCTTCTGCCACAAGACCAGCCAGAAGAGTTTATTTTAGGCCACTAAATAAAGGTAGAGGTAGGACAGAATATGAAGAGTCGGTCTGAAAACTGTCACAGTTCAGGTGGGAATCTTTGTCTTCCTTCAATGCCCTGAACCTCATTAAGGCACTTCAGGGACCGGGAAGAAAGCTTGAGCTTCCAAAAGCTGAGGAGAGCATTTGCAGAACTGAATGTTCCAATCACTGAGCTTAGGATTGTCAGGTATGTGCATGTGCTGTTGCTTTATCTGATTCTTGTTTCCTCTTTGATGTCCCTTTAACTTCAGATCATAGAGTGAGCCTGCCTTTCCTTGGTTCTTGTGGCACAGCAGAGCTCTCCAGGCCTGGCTTAGTGCAAGGAGAGGCCTGCTGTGGAGTTCTCTTATTTGGCTGCTTTTCATTCCCAGCATAGCATTGGCCGTGACCAAAGAATGTGGTCTGCTGAGGACAGGCAACAGAGCAGAACTGCCTGCTGTGCTGCTGAGTGGCACAAGGCATCAGCTGTGAGCAGGTGACCAGGTGGGCATGCATTTGTAGTGAGTGGGGTGGCTCGGAGCAGCTGTAGCCCTCCCCACTTGTCTCTGTGTGGTCACTGCACCCTCCTGCCCTGCAAGGATCTCACAGCCTGGTTCTGCTCTGTAGCAATACAGCTGTACAGCGTTAGCAGCAGGGAGCAAAGGGCTGCACCTGGTCTCGGTGTTACATTTGCTTCTGTGAAATGAGACAAGCCAGAAGCCATCAGCTCACAGGACCTGAATCCAGGCTTCGGGTTTTCTGCTCTGAAATAAAAAGCACCACGGATGGATCTAAGCAGTTCAACAAACCTGGGTTGGAGTGCAGAGGGCCGGGGCTGTAACC